CGGTTTAGCTTAGGCTTAGCTTAGGCTTAGCTTAGGCATAGCTTAGGCTTAGCTTAGGCATAGCTTAGGCTTAGCTTAGGCTTAGCTTAGGCTTAGCTTAGGCTTAGCTTAGGCTTAGCTTAGGCTTAGCTTAGGCTTAGCTTAGACTTAGCTTAGGCTTAGCTTAGGCTTAGCTTAGGCTTAGCTTAGGCATAGCTTAGGCTTGGCTTAGGCTTGAGCTTAGGCATAGCTTAGGCTTAGCTTAGGCTTAGCTTAGGCATAGCTTAGGCTTAGCTTAGGCTTAGCTTAGGCTTAGCTAGACTTCAGCTTAGGCTTAGCTTAGGCTTAGCTTAGGCTTAGCTTAGGCTTAGCTTAGGCTTAGCTTAGGCTTACAAGGGAACCTCAAGTTGGCACGGTGGAATTTCGAAAAACGCTCGCGGCTACCCCTAAGTTTTCGATGACGGCGATTCCAACGCTCTTGTCAGAATTTCCTTAATGGACCTCTGGACAGAGATACAGCACTTCCGGAAAATGATAATTTACATCCGAAAAATTAGCATAGCTGATAGGTTTATGAGGCTCTCCCATCACTATGGAATCACCAGTTGAATGGCCGAGTGGTAAGCGACTCACTTGATAGGATGCTGACGAGGGTTCGAATCCGCTCACGATTTTTTTTATTTTGCGTTTTGACCAGAACTTTCTGCCCAACTCCATGTTTTGGTTACTTTTTTCGAAAATTCGTTCTCTTTCTAAAACGTTTATAGGAATCAGCGAAGCCAACAAATGCAAAAAATCTCTTCCAAGTCAATCATAGAGCCCCTCTGTAAAAAGGACGGAATATGGGTAGACCCAACCTTTTTGAATTTCGAGAACGAGTTTTGAGACTTCCTGGGAGTAATCAGTCCGAGGCCACAACCAAAAACTTTTCCTATAGAAAAAATGAAATGAAATGAAGTTGGGCAGAAAGTTCTGGTCAAAACGCAAAATAAAAAAATCGTGAGCGGATTCGAACCCTCGTCAGCATCCTATCAAGTGAGTCGCTTACCACTCGGCCATTCAACTGGTGATTCCATAGTGATGGGAGAGCCTCATAAACCTATCAGCTATGCTAATTTCTGGGATGTAAATTATCATTTTCCGGAAGTGCTGTATCTCTGTCCAGAGGCCCATTTAGGAAATTCTGAATAGAGCGTTGGAATCGCAATAGTCGAAAACCTAGGGGTAGCCGCTAGCGTTTTTCGAAATTCCACCGTGCCAACTTGAGGTTCCCTTGTTAGCTTAGGCTTAGCTTAGGCTTAGCTTAGGCTTAGCTTAGGCTTAGCTTAGGCATAGCTTAGGCTTAGCTTAGGCTTAGCTTAGGCTTAGCTTAGACTTAGCTTAGGCTTAGCTTAGGCTTAGCTTAGGCTTAGCTTAGGCTTAGCTTAGGCTACCGTACCTCCTGCTTCATTCTTCGGCGGCGTCGGCTCGTCGCTGTCCTCGAGCGGCCCCTGGCCGGCCTGCTGCTCCTTTCGCTTCTGCAAAGAATTTCCATAACCCACCCCATATTGCCTAATTTGCATAAAAGTGAGGCATTAATGAAAAAACCCACAGTCCGGTGAAGCAATCGGGCGGACATCCCTCAGAAAAGCGCCAAATCACAGAAAAACCAACGCGGCCCGTTTTTTCATAGTGAATTTCGGACGCAAATCACCCTGTGTGCCGGAATTCGGCCGTTCTCGGATGCTAACTACAAACTACAGATTTTTGTATGTTTCCAAAGACTACAGAATTTTCAAGAAATCACCATTTTTGGTGTACTCTCGCATTATCGGGGGGGGGGGTCAGTTTGATACTAACAAGTTCGGAAAAACGTTTTCACGTGATATCAAATATTTTCTATACCCCTTGATTCAAATTTAACAGTATTTCCTGAAAAAAAACAGCCAAAAAAGCTTCGAAGATAAAATTCAAAATGTTGGTCGAAAAACTTACATTTTTTTTGAATTATTGAATAGGATCTTTTGCCTTATCGGGCGGGGGATTTTAATAGGAATTATTGTTGAAAGTTTTTGATATAATAACACTTAGTAGAAAAAACTTTAGAAACTTCCAAAAATTCGACATTTTTGTAAAAAATGGCAGTTTTTTGGTCGAAAAATCTATATTTTTTTATTTTCTATTAAAGATCTGTGAGATTCTTACGCTTAAGAATAGTAAAAATAGTAAAAAAAAGTTAAGAAGCACTTCAGCTATTTATATTAGAAAAATGGATACTAAAAAGCGGGTTTTCCCCTTGACCCTCCCCCCGTTAATGCCAAAGCACCATTTTGAACGACTGCCTTATTCTCGATCAGCAGAAGCATCTGCCCATTCTACCGTCATAAATGCTCGATCTTCGGGATGATAGCCCGAGGGCATTTGAGAGGCCCGCGCGCCCAATATTGACCCAGATACACGACGATGACCACTTCTGCCCCCTTGTCATTTGACTCGTATGCAAATCACCGGGTGATGCTATCCCAATTCAGCCAAGAGCTCCTCTACCCCGCCGCATATCTACGCCAGAACGTCCTCAACCCGTTGCAGGAATATATGGCACTACCCGCGAGAAGTCCGATTAGTAAGTAGCTTTATCCGTAAGCCTAAGCTAAGCCTAAGCTAAGCCTAAGCTAAGCCTAAGCTAAGCCTAAGCTAAGCCTCCTAAGCCTCCTAAGCCGCCTAAGCCTCCTAAGCTTCCCAAGCCCCTAAGCTTCTCAAGTCTCCTAAGGCTAAGCCTAAGCCTAACTAGCCCCAAGCTAAGCCTACGCTAAGCCTAAGCCAAGCCTAAGCCTAACTAGCCCCAAGCTAAGCCTACGCTAAGCCTAAGCCAAGCCTAAGCTAAGCCTAAGCCAGCTTCAGTGGCTCAGTCCAAGGCTTAAACTCAGAATTCGGAGCCTGACAAGATAAGCAAGCCGTTTTTTCCCCAGACGAGCTTCTCCGGCTTAACAGGCTTCGTTTCCGGAGTATAGCTTCAAAGTTCTAAGTACTTTCGGACAAGTTAAGCATGCTTAGAAGGTTTTTTTTACTGAAGCCGAACTTCTCCGGCTTAGCCGGCTTCGTTTCCGCAGCATAGCCTTCAGATTTCAATTCTTAATTTGATTCAAGCTTGTTAAAAGGCTTCACTTCCGGGCTTTAGCCTCAAAGCTTTCGGTTATTTCCGCCAAGTTAAGCAAGCTTATCAGCCTCTTAAAGGCGAGCTTCTCCGGCTTCACCGGCTTCGTTTCCGGAGTATAGCCTTAAGATTTTAAGTACTTTTGGCCAAGCCAAGTCAGCTTATAAGCCTTTTTCAAGCCAAGCTTCTGGGGCTTGTTTGCGGCTTGTGTTCCGCCAGGCTCCGCCCAAATTTTTGTGCGCCCATGGCAGAGGGGGACCCTCGCGCAAGCCCTCTTCGATCAGCTGACACCATGCCGCCCGGGGGCCCGGCTCGATATTCAAATAATGGCCATACCTGGGTGTAGAGCATTTTAACTATTATTTAATTACATTTATTAGATTAGTTTTTACAATATGCCCATTTATACAATTGAAATAACATTTTTAAGCCCGAGAAAGCATAAAATCCGGCTTTTATACATTTTCCATAACTTTCCGAATTAAAAATGACGAAAAATCGTGTTTCATTATTTTTTTATATGATTGAAATACTATTAATAGATTCGTTATTACAATATGCACCCATTGACTCCATTAAAATAGCCTTTTTAAGCCCACATAGCGTAAGAATCCGGCTTTTAGACACTTTTCTTAGCTTAAAAATCCAGAAATTGGCGAAAACTCCAGTTGCAGTATTTTTAAGTGTTTCAAATATATTTATTAGATCCATTTTTTACAAATTCCATGCCTTTTCCATCTTCCAGAAACTATAACATCCAGAAAACTATGAAAAATCAACTATTTTACCCTGGTTTTTGGCTACCACCAGCGAGAAAGTGGCGGAAAATCGACTTTATTTTATTTTGATAGAATTGAAATACAATTAATTGTTTAATTTGGTATTACTTTGATAAACATGCGCATTTAATTCTATCAAATATCTTTTTTATGCCTGGAAAATAAACCTTAAAACCCGGAAACTTGAAAAAACCGATAATTTTTAATAGCTAGCTTTTAAAACAGTATTAAACCGTTTTTTGCAATATTTTCTTGTTAAAAAGTGTCCAAATATTTTTACGACACTTTTTTTGAGCCTAGAAAAAGTAATACGGCCCCAAATCGTAAAAATTGGCCAAAAATCGAGGCTTCAGCTCAAAAAATCGAATTTGGCAGGCTAGCAGAGACCTTTTGGGAAAGGTTGAAGTTTAGGTCAATCGATTACGCAAGTAAAATGGGGTTTATTGAGGTCTAGGAGGGTTACAAGCTTGATTGTTTGTTTGTTTTCTTTTCCTTATGACCTAGTGTTTGGAAAAGCCGGAATTCTTGCAGAAAAATGTGCCAGTTTCGAGCTGAGGCGCGCCGGTAGAAATTTCGCAATGTGTTGCACAAGCTTTCCGGGAGGCCCTCCAAATTTTCTTGCAGCAAATATTGCTGGGTCAGATAGTGAAAGCATCATTTTTACGCTTTTCCTCGGTTCCGAAACATTCCTAAAAACGTTGTCGCCCCCCGGAAATGGCATCTTTTGTAGCAGCAGATATGGGCGCCGACGAGATCGCCGACCTCGCCTCCGTCACGTTCAACCAGGATGGAAAGTGAGTTGCAGAGATCCTTGAGGAAATGGAGAGAGCAGGCTAGCAGAGATTGTTGAGGAAGAATCCTACCATTAATGCGCAAATTTCCAGATCCCTAGCCGTCGGCCATGCATCCGGCTACATGCTGTATTCAATGCAGGACTGCGCCGAGTCGTCAGCCCTGCAGTGCGACCCACACGTCGAGCCCAGTAAGTTCAAAAATTTTTGTGAATTTATGTGGATTTTAGAGCTCTCCGATGCGATCATTGTCGAGCGGCTGTTCAACTCCTCGTTGGTGGTGGGTTAACTTCCTCAACAATCTCTGCTAGCCTGCCCTCTCCCCTTTCTCAATTTGATTTCATTTCCAGGTGATCGTCTCCCGACTCCAGCCCCGCGTGATGTACGTCTACCACTCGCAGAGCAAGAACATGATCTGCGACTACAAATACGGCAACACGGTGCTGGCGGTGAAGCTGAACCGCGAGCGAGTGGTCGTGTGTCTTGAAGACGCGCTGTACATCTACAACCTCAAGGATATGAAGGTGCGGATCAGGCTTAAGCTTAGGCTTACCTTTAAAAAAACACTGAAGCCAAAAACCCCAAAAAATCTTGTATTTCCAGATGATGCACTCAATCTGCGACACCCCGCCCAACAAGCACGGCCTTATCGATCTGTCTGCAAACGACCAAAATTGCTACCTGGCTTACCCCGGAAATCACAACAATGGAACGGTAAGGGCAGGCTAGCAGAGACGATTTGGGGTGTGGTAGCTAGCTGAGATCCTTTAGGAAATGGGTGATTCGGGCAAGCCAGAAGTGACCATTTGAGACGATTTTTCATTTTTCAGGTGTACATCTTCGACGCAAAAAATCTCACCTCGGTCAACACGTTCACCGCCCACAACAGCCCGCTAGCGTCGATGCGGTTCAGCGCCGACGGACAGAAGCTGGCCACCGCCGGCGCCAAGGGTAAGCCTAAGCCTAAGCCTTAGCGTAAGCTTAAGCCCAAGCCCGAGCCTAAGCCTAAGCAGAACTAATCAGAAGAAGAGTCGATGCTCCCATTCACTTTTCAGGTACCGTCATCCGGGTCTTCTCCCTGCCGAAGGGCGACAAGCTGTTCGAGTTTCAGCGTGGAATTTCGAGGTAATTTTTTGCAAACTTTTTAACGTAACTTGTCAGGAACGCCACCATCTACTCGATGTGCTTCTCGGCCGACTCGAACTTCTTGTGCACCAGCTCGAACACGGAGACGGTGCACGTCTTCAAGCTGGAACCGCCGGCAAACAAGTGGGTGGTAGGCTAGCAGAGATTGTTGAGGAAAGGAGAGGGGCAGACTAGCAGAGATTGTTGAGGAAGAGGAGAGGGCAGACTAGCAGAGATTGTTGAGGAAGAGGAGAGGGCAGGCTAGCAGAGATTGTTGAGGAAGAGGAGAGGGCAGGCTAGCAGAGATTGTTGAGGAAGAGGAGAGGGCAGGCTAGCAGAGATTGTTGAGGAAGAGGAGAGGGCAGGCTAGCAGAGATTGTTGAGGAAGAGGAGAGGGCAGGCTAGCAGAGATTGTTGAGGAAGAGGAGAGGGCAGGCTAGCAGAGATTTTTGCGGAATCCTGGAAAAGCATCTTTTTTTTTTTATTCCAGAGACTCTTCCCCCAATCAATCGTCAAACGGCGGCTGGATTGAGTATTTCCAGTCGAGCCTCCACCTCCCACAGGTACGGTGTCTAGGTCACCATGTAGACAAAATCCATTTTCCAGATGAACGACTTGACGTTGAGGGAGCGGTCCTTTGCCTCAGCCCACCTACCCTCGCCTGGATCTCGGAATGTTGCCGCCATGCCCACGTGAGTTGCTTGGCAGGCTAGCAGGGATTCTTGCGGAGGGGGAAGCTAGCAGAGACCCTTGAGGATCCACCAACTTCCTTATAACCCCGAAATTTCAGGATTAACGGCATGCCCCACCTTCTCGTGGCCACCACCGAGGGATTCCTCTATTGCTACCGCATCGAGCACGACGGCGGCGAGTGCCATCTGGTGCGACAACATCGGATTGGTAAGTAAAGGGCTTTTTGTCGAGTTTACAACGTCGCCAACATTTTTTATTATTTTTTGACGGCATTTTAGGACCCCAGAACAACGGCTCGGGGAAGCAGGGAAGCCCTTCCGGATCGGCCGGATCGAATCGAAGTGGCAGGCATGCTGATGGGGTAAGCGATCTCTGCTAGCCTGCCCTCTTCCTCAACAATCTCTGCTAGCCTGCCCATCAAGCGAATTTTTCAGGCAGACCCCCCGAACCCCAACGACATTGCCGATTTTCCGCCAATGACGCACAGCAGCGGATAACCTCTAGATTTGCCATCCTGACGATGTTGTAGTTTGTAGTCCAGCCAAAAATCTAGCCTCAAATAGTCTCTGCTAGCTTGCCTCGGAAATTCCTGCCAAGCTACAAACTACAACCCAGTCCCGTTTTCACAAATTCCGTCCACACACTATGTCAAACTTGATAATTCCGCCCTTTTTCGAGGTCATTTAAGCGTTGCGTGTATCGTCCTGTACTCCTCGACCAGTCTTCAGACGTCTCTGGTATCTGTCATTTCTGTCGAATCTGCTACTATTTGGCCCCATGTATAGAGTATTCCCGGGGTCATGCTTTTTGTAAAAACATCTGTATTTTCCGCTTTATCAACGTTACATTAATGCTGATTTTTATGGTCCGCCTTAAGATTTGCCGTCTCTTTTCCCCTCAAATCTCATCGATGCGCACTGATAAATAATGCTGGTCACGTGATTTGCGTAAAATTGGCAGAAATAAAGAAAAAAAATAGAAGTACAAACCCGAAAATTCAGAAAAACGAAGTTGCTTTGCCGACTTCGATCTGCCGACTTCGATCTGCCGACTTCGATCTGCCGACTTCGATCTGCCGACTTCGATCTGCCGACTTCGATCTGCCGACTTCGATCTGCCGACTTCGATCTGCCGACTGATCTGCGACTTCGATCTGCCGACTTCGATCTGCCGACTTCGATCTGCCGACTTCGATCTGTCGACTTCGATCTGTCGACTTCGGCTTCGCCTGCCGAATTTTTCTAGAAATAGCGGATGCGTTTCTACATTGTTTCTACCATTACCAATCATAAAAACTTTGCAAATCCCAAGTAAAAGAATTAAATTTTAAGGCTAAGAATTGATTTTTCGACCCAAAATGACCAAATTTTCGACTTGTTTCGAACCATTTTCTAACCTATTTTGGAAGGTTTTCTGCTTTAAATATAGTTAAAACTTTGTAAAAAATGTAAAAACACTTCATTTTGGATTACTACGATACCGGGACCTCCGGGAAAAATTTGATTAGTCGTAAGAATCCCGGAACAAATGGGCCAGCTATGCAAACAGCAGGATCATAGCCTGGGGCCCCAAAATTAATCTCGTCGAAAAATTGGCCATGCTCCGACTTTTCATTTTTACGATTTTGATTCCTACCGTACTCTGTCTTACGATATGCCCGACGACGCGGAGAACGACAAGGAAAGTGGGTATTTATGGGCAGGCTAGCAGAGATAATTGAGGAGGATTTTTAGCTGACGACTTCCACATCAACAACTACGACCACTACGATGACGACGACAAGTGCAATAAGTCAGTGAAAAATTCAGGGCTTGGAATACGATTTCATGGCTTTTTAACATTACTAGTTTTCTTTTGAGGATATTTTAGATCTCAAGAAAAAAATTCCATTCATCTTCAGGTTGCGCCTCATGCCGTCCGGAGCAGATTACGGTAGAAAATTCTACAACTGAGTTTACAATTGTGAGTTTCAGGTAGTGGGTCTTCCTCAATTCCTACATTAATGTTTGTATTTGCCTGGCCTGTAATTTCAAATCTTAGTCAGCACGGGAAATCGTCGTTTGTAGTTTGTAGTAGCTAGACAAAAACTTGAATTTCCAGCCCTTCGCCTCGGACATCATCTCAGTCGATGACACGACCGGATGCAAAATTCGGACCTTCACCTGCACCGGAATAACTCTGAACGTGGTCATCATTTCGGTGGGCAGGCTAGCAGAGATTGTTGAGGACGAGGAGAGGGCATGCTAGCAGTGATTGTTGAGGAAGAGGAGAGGGCAGGCTAGCAGATATTGTTGAGGAAGAGGAGAGGGCAGGCTAGCAGAGATTGTTGAGGAAGAGGAGAGGGCAGGCTAGCAGAGATTGTTGAGGAAGAGGAGAGGGCAAGCTAGCAGAGATTGTTGAGGAAGAGGAGAGGGCAGGCTAGCAGAGATTGTTGAGGAAGAGGAGAGGGGCAGGCTAGCAGAGATTGTTGAGGACGAGGAGAGGGCGGGCTAGCAGAGATTGTTGAGGAAGAGGAGAGGGCAGGCTAACAGAGAATGTTTAGGAAGAGTCAGCGATTCTAGGTGAACTTTGATGACTATACGCAAGGGGACATCACCTCGACTTCCGTCTCATTTCAATGCAATGCGGACGGCGTCTGGCAGTATACGGTAGCTTTAAGCTATTTTGACAATGTTGTTTTTTTTCAGGTCGACCCGAACGAGCCGCTCCTATCGACATTCATCGTGAACTCCGTGCTCTGTGAAGACGTAGGGCCCTAATTGTCTGATCGCATTTTTTGCGTATGAAGGTAGAAATGTGTATAAATTTCAGACTGCATCAATTATTGCGTAAAATAATGTTTCGAGCTTAAATATCATTGCGCGGCCGGATAATCGTGTAGTTGGATCCCTTTTCCGTTTTGTTTGCTCAATCTTCGTTTTAGGAATTTTTATCAATGAAAAGCGAATCGAAATCGAATTGTCCCGTATTTCCAATCAGTGTTTAAAATCCTGAACCGTTTGCGTGACGATGAGGACGGTCATGATCGTGGCGACGGCGATGCCGATCGTCCAGGGGATTAGCACGTGTTTTCGCTGCTTGGCCCATCGCCAGCCCCGTGAGACACGGTCCTGTGATTCGTAAGCAACGTAGCCTGGAAGATATATGAACTTACTAAGCTTAATCTAAGTCTAAGCTTAAGCCTAAGTTAAGCCTAAGTCCAAGCTCAACCTAAGCTAAGCTCAACCTAAGCCTAATCTAAGTCTAACCCCAGCCTAGGCCCAAACCCGAGCCTAAGCATACGCTAAGCCTAGGCTAAGCCTAAGTCTAAGCCTAAGCTATTCCTAAGCTAACCGAAGAATAGCCTAAGCTAAGCCTAAGCCTAAACCGAAGCCTGAGCTAAGCCGAAGACAAGCCCTTGTCTAAGCCCCTCTGCTAGCCTTTTGATAAAGCTCACTGTATTGCATGGGTTTGTAGTCGTCGTAGAAATCATAGCGTGGGGCGACGTCGTTGAAGACTTCTTGCGAATGGATCGTATTCAGGCGTGTACTGGAAGTTTTGAAATTGCTGTTTCAGTCGAGAAAGGTCACCGTCGTGTTTCCTTCACTCTGGCCGCTTTCCGGACCGGAGCCATGGGGAGACGACGTTGGTTTTGGAGCTGAAATATGGAATTAGAGAGAGAGCGAGAGAGAGAGAGAGAGAGAGAGAGAGAGAGAGACCTGCAGATCGCCGATACAAACGCTGCTCGAGTGCCGCCTTGAGGCCAGTAGCGCGGGGTCGAGGTGCTGAAAAAGTGTTATTTTTCGGAAAAATTTTTTCCTGGTCTTATCACCCACCCTCTTAAAAACGAGATAACTAGCTACTTTCCCCAAATGGCCTCTGCTAGCCTGCCCCTCCTCAAAAAATACGCACAAATCCGGTAGACATCGAGTCGAGGTGTGTCTGGTTGTCGTGCATGGTGTGGCCACGGGCCCGCCCCGGCTGCTTTAGATAGTGGCTGGCCATCTCGGGCTAGAATTCTAAAATTTAATGAAGCTGGATTTCAGATTAGTAGCTAAATAACCGGTATTTAATAGATCAAAAGCTCTGGCTGGATGTATAGGCCCCACTTTGGCAATTTGCCACCGTTTTGGGGCACCGGACACTGATAAGCCGGCGATTCTTGGGTCAATAGCAGGAAACGGGTGGCCCGGTGGGAAGCGAGGGATCGGCAAAAATAGACGGCGCTTCTCTGTTAACGGGGGGGAAGCTAATTTGTCATTTTTCGCCTGTTGATAATCAATAGCGCATTTTCACAATGTTTTTCGTAGCTTCTGATTGCTAGAAAACTATAAAAACTTTTTTATTTAGAAAAATCGCAATTGTTTTTCCGTTTTTGGCCATTTTTCATACATTTTTGGCCAAAAAGTCAAAAATTTTCCAAATAAAATTTGTTTTGAATATGGTTTTTATATCTAAAAACTGTGTAAAATACTATAAAATGGTTTATGGTTCGGTATCCGTAAGGAAATAATGGGCAAAAATTGGTTGCCCCTTAACAAGGAAGCACCCACATTTCATGATTTTTAGCCTTTCCTAATTTAAAGCATTTTTTTACTCGTAGATCTTATTTGACTACTTATTTTTTATAACTTTCTTTTCATTTCACCATTAGTGTTCTTTTGAACAAAATGACAAGCTCCCTCGCTATTGACACGTCGATAGGAATGCCGCCTTTTTCAAATGGTCGCTTTTCCTAACCCAACGGTCCCGAAAAAATCGTGGTTAGACCTATAACCGCCAGTTTATTATTTTACTTTATTATCTCATTATTTTATAAAATTTTTACAGTATGAGCTGGCGCGATGATCCTCGCATTAAAAAGCTGCTGGAGAAGGCGACGCTTGAAAATCTATTGAAACCCTGCTTTGAACGAGTCCATGAAAAAGATGAGATCCAAAAGATGGAGAGCACCTTGAAATATGCTCTCGACAAGTATGAGGTGAAAGACGTGTGTTTCTTTTGCATTATCGGGGGGGGGGACAGCTTTTTTCTTCCGATCAAAGTTTCAAAGATAAATAGCGAAAGTTTCGAAACTCTAACCGGTTTTTTATGATTCTTAAAACGTAAACGTACAATTTTTTATCAAAAAACTCGAAAATTGTCGAGTTTTCGAGCAAAAACGACCATTTTTTGGCCAATTTTGACCTTTAAGATACTTATTCTAGTTGAAACATAGTTTTACTTCACTAAAAAAAGACTTATATAAAAAATTCGGGTTCCCGGAATTTATAATTTCTATATGATGCTACAAAACAGTATCGAAACTTCAGGAAAATGAAGAGAGCGAAACGGAGCCGCTTACTGATGAATGTTTGGATGCTCTATGTGAAGTAAGTGAATGTTATAACGAAGAAATCAGTGCAATTTCTGGGTACAATTGTACAAACAAGTACCATCAGTACTATACACTATGTGTTGTTTCAGATAACGATGAATCATGGAAAAAACCACACTCCAGAGAGTCTGCTGACATTGTCGAAGCTGTTCATCAAAGTTGAAGATTGGCGCCTTGCCTGTGAAGTGATTTGGTGTAGTGCCTCACTCGCTATCCAGGGTAATTTCTATTTATTAAATATTTTTCAATGTATTCATTTTAAGATTTCATCTCGGCTCACCAGATTAAAGTCGAGCTTTGCTCGCATTATGGAAAGCGACGGTTTATGAGATTGCTGTCCAGTGATCTGGCTAACCAGTTTTCCGTGTTCGAATGGTAGGTGTAAAACTGAAACTGATTCTTTAGATTTCCGGGGGAGGGGGAGTATTTCCGGGAAACCAATTTTTTCCTGGTTTTCCCGGTTGACCTAGTAATCAAATATAAAGTGTTTTCACATTGTTTTTAGTAAATTTTAACTATATTTAAAGTAGAAAAACCTTTCAAAAAAGTTAGAAAAATGTTTGAAAAAGTCGAAAATGGGTCATTTTGGGTCTTTCCCCCCCGCTAATCCTAAAGGTTCTATAGGATTTTTCGACCTAAAATTAAATTTTTTAATTAAAATGTGGGTAGTTTTTATGCTCAGGACTAGTTAAAAACCATTTAGAAACGCATCCGCTATTTAGAAAAAAATTTAGGCTTGGGCCGAAAAAATTTCGTTTCCCCCCCCCCGGAAATCCTAACCGTAAAACTAATCCATTTTGATGTGTATTATTTGTTTCAGGTGCCACTCGAGCTTTTATACGAACAGTTATTTCACAGCTGATGTCGAGTACGCTTACATCGAGGCCCGAAAATTTCTGCAAAACCTGCGCGACTTCACTCTGACTGCTGAAAAGAAGAAGCAACTCGAATAATCAAAATATAACATAATTTTGTAGTTCTAGTTTGTTCTATTTTTTTCTATTTTTTCTATTTTCTAATTATTAATTTCTAATTTCTAATTTTAAATTGTTAGTATTAAAATAATAGTTTCTTTTGTAATATTTATCGGGGCTTTTAATAACTTTTAAACGGGGGCGGGGGAACCAATTTTTCGCCAGTAATTCCGTACGGCCCTATAACAAAATATAAACCATTTTGTATAGTTTTTAAATACAAAAAGCTTTAAAAAAAACACAAAACTTCGGATTTTTTGGCAAAAAATCTATGAAAAATTACCAAAAAGGTCAAAACTTTCGAATTTTCAAAATTTAACAAATATTCTTACGACCTTAGCAAACAAAAACTTGTAAAAATCAATAAAAATGCAATATTTATTGTTAACAGATTGTTTGTCTATATTTTTTAGTATGTTAATTATTGCATACGCGGAAAAATACCTCGGTCCGTGAAGCGGAAACAACTTTTGATTTTTTAACCTTTTCGTTTAAGAGTTTATCACCGATCGTCAGCTGAATGTCAAGCTTGACACGCAGGGTCAGAAGAGAGCCTTTACGAGGGCGCTGTCGCATGCTTTAGGAAATCAATTTTCCGTTTTCGAAATGTAAGTTCCGTAAAATGTAAATATATATGTAAAATAATAAAATAATAAAAAGTAAAATGTGTTGATGTTGTAAAATTTCGAAAGTAAAAATTATGGTCAATTCTTATGGGCATGATTTGTTTCAGGTGCCATTTATCATTCTACACGAACCGTTATGGCGGTCACGACGCGAATGCTGCACTCGTGGAAGCGAAGGATTTCATCCAAAAGCTTCGGGCGTTCCAATTAACTGATGAAACGATGAAAGAAGTGGAAAGGAGAATTTCGACTCTTAGTTGAATATCTATTGTTTATGTCAAGATAAATGTTTATATTATCTTATTTTTTTAATAATATTTTTTGTGTTGTCAATAAAATTGTCGTAGTAATATATCAAACAGTAAATAAACGCATATCGACAACTAGAAAACGAGGTGCTTCCTGGTTATCGGGGGTCGGTTATTTTAGCGGGGGTCGGTTGCGAACTTTTTTTATAATATCGTGCGGCTCGGCTAATTAAAAACTGGCGGTTTTTATAGACTTGTGCGCCGTTTGAAATGGTTCTGGACTGTTAGCGGGGGAGGAGACAGTAAGAAAAACGTCATAAAACATGTTGAAAAAAAATTTCTTTTTCGGTCTAACGTATATGAAAATGGCTAAAACCGCGATATAACCCTAGATTTCGTGACTATAGGATAAATATTTTTATAATTTTTGATTATCGGAAGCTACTAAAAACAGTATTAAAATAAACTACAATTTATCACTAGGCAGGTATAGGCTAAACGAAAAGAAGATGCCAACCGACCCCCGCTAAAATAACCGACCCCCGATAACCAGGAAGCACCGAAAACGAGAACAACGACTTTTGCAGCCTCTACTTCTTTCTCTAGGCATAAATATACTCTTATGACATTTATAACGCATAAATTACTTTTATATTTTAAGCAAACGCGCCCTCAAATACAGTTTTCTGCTCCGATGCCTTGTTTTAGCTAAACGCCATCCAAGTTCCGGTAATAGACGCATCTTTAGTAATTTAAAAATTTCCTACTTGTTTATCTTCTTTTATTACTTATTTTTTAAACAATATTCGTTATCATTTTATTATTTTTGCTTCCTTTGATCAAAATTTCAAGCTCCCTCGCTATTGCCTCGTTGATAGGAATGCCGCGTTGACATGATAGGCTAGCAGAGACGCTTTGGGCTTAAGCAAAAATTTTAGCTCTTAAAATTTCAGGATTAATGGAATGCCACATCTGCTGATCGCCACTACTGAGGGCACCCTGTACTGCTACCGCATCGAGCATGACGGCGGCGAATGTCATCTGGTGCGCCAGCATCGGATTGGTAAGTAAAGGGCTTTTTATCGATATTTAAGGGGATGCCGACGGCATGTGTCGATCCCCCCCATCAACAAATTGGCAAGTAGCCAACAGGGGAGAGAGCGCGCCCAGGGGAGAGGCGCAGAGACATTTTCTTTCCCGCGCATAAGCGATTGACTTATGCCGCCCCTATCTCTTTAAACCCCGGCAAAATTACATAATCTTTTATGGATTTTCAGGACTGGACTCCAGAACAACGGCTCCGGGAAGCAGGGAAGCCCTTCCGGATCGGCCGGATCGAATCGAAGTGGCAGGCATGCTGATGGGGTGAGTGTTCTCTGCTAGCCCTGCCCTCTCCTCTTCCTCAACAATCTCTGCTAGCCCTGCCCTCTACTCTTCCTCAACAATCTCTGCTAGCCTGCCCTCTCCTCTTCCTCAACAATCTCTGCTAGCCTGCCCTCTCCTCTTCCTCAACAATCTCTGCTAGCCTGCCCTCTCCTCTTCCTCAACAATCTCTGCTAGCCTGCCCTCTCCTCTTCCTCAACAATCTCTGCTAGCCTGCCCTCTCCTCTTCCTCAACAATCTCTGCTAGCCTGCCCTCTCCTCTTCCTCAACAATCTCTGCTAGCCTGCCCTCTCCTCTTCCTCAACAATCTCTGCTAGCCTGCCCTCTCCTCTTCCTCAACAATCTCTGCTAGCATGCCCTCTCCTCTTCCTCAACAATCTCTGCTAGCATGCCCTCTCCTCTTCCTCAACAATCTCTGCTAGCATGCCCTCTCCTCTTCCTCAACAATCTCTGCTAGCCTGCCCTCTCCTCTTCCTCAACAATCTCTGCTAATCTCTGCTCGTTTTACAACGAAAAAATGCTGCAAAATTCGGCGAAAAATTTATTTTTTTTCGAACCAAAATGGCCAAATTTCCGATCTGCCGACTTCGATCTGCCGACTTCGATCTGTCGACTTCGATCTGCCGACTTCGATCTGCCGACTTCGATCTGCCGACTTCGATCTGCCGACTTCGATCTGTCGACTTCGATCTGCCGACTTCGATCTGCCGACTTCGATCTGCCGACTTCGATCTGTCGACTTCGATCTGCCGACTTCGATCTGCCGACTCCGATCTGCCGACTTCGAACTGCCGACTTCGATCTGCCGACTTCGATCTGCCGACTTCGATCTGTCGACTTCGATCTGCCGACTTCGATCTGCCGACTTCGATCTGCCGACTTCGATCTGTCGACTTCGATCTGCCGACTTCGATCTGCCGACTTCGATCTGCCGACTTCGATCTGTCGGATTTAAAAATTCGTTTTACAACGAAAAAAAGCTGCTGAAAAATTCGGCAAAAAATTTATTTTTCGAACCAAAATGGCCAAATTTCCGATCTGCCGACTTCGATCTGCCGACTTCGATCTGCCGACTTCGATCTGCCGACTTCGATCTGCCGACTTCGATCTGTCGACTTCGACCTGCCGACTTCAATCTGTCGGATTTAAAAATTCGTTTTACAACGCAAAAAAAGGTGCTGAAAATTCGTTTTACAACGAAAAAAAGCTGCTGAAAAATTCGGCAAAAAATTTATTATTTTTGTTCGAACCAAAATGGCCAAATTTCCGATCTGCCGACTTCGATCTGCCGACTTCGATCTGCCGACTTCGATCTGTCGACTTCGATCTGCCGACTTCGATCTGCCGACTTCGATCTGTCGGATTTAAAAATTCGTTTTACAACAACGAAAAAAGCTGCTGAAAATTCGGCAAAAATTTATTATTTTTGTTCGAACCAAAATGGCCAAATTTCCGATCTGCCGACTTCGATCTGCCGACTTCGATCTGTCGACTTCGATCCGCCGACTTCGATCTGTCGGATTTAAAAATTCGTTTTACAACGAAAAAAAGCTGCTGAAAAATTCGGCAAAAAATTTATTTTTTTTCGAACCAAAATGGCCAAATTTCCGATCTGCCGACTTCGATCTGCCGACTTCGATCTGTCGACTTCGATCTGCCGACTTCGATCTGCCGACTTCGATCTGCCGACTTCGATCTGCCGACTTCGATCTGCCGACTTCGATCTGTCGACTTCGATCTGCCGACTTCGATCTGCCGACTTCGATCTGCCGACTTCGATCTGCCGACTTCGATCTGCCGACTTCGATCTGTCGACTTCGACCTGCCGACTTCAATCTGTCGGATTTAAAAATTCGTTTTACAACGCAAAAAAAGGTGCTGAAAATTCGTTTTACAACGAAAAAAAGCTGCTGAAAAATTCGGCAAAAAATTTATTATTTTTGTTCGAACCAAAATGGCCAAATTTCCGATCTGCCGACTTCGATCTGCCGACTTCGATCTGCCGACTTCGATCTGTCGACTTCGATCTGCCGACTTCGATCTGCCGACTTCGATCTGTCGGATTTAAAAATTCGTTTTACAACGAAAAAAAGCTGCTGAAAAATTCGGCAAAAAATTTATTATTTTTGTTCGAACCAAAATGGCCAAATTTCCGATCTGCCGACTTCGATCTGCCGACTTCGATCTGCCGACTTCGATCTGTCGACTTCGATCTGCCGACTTCGATCCGCCGACTTCGATCTGTCGGATTTAAAAATTCGTTTTACAACGAAAAAAGCTGCTGAAAAATTCGGCAAAAAATTTTATTATTTTGTTCGAACCAAAATGGCCAAATTTCCGATCTGCCGACTTCGATCTCGCCGACTTCGATCTGCCGACTTCGATCTGCCGACTTCGATCTGTCGACTTCGATCTGCCGACTTCGATCTGCCGACTTCGATCTGTCGGATTTAAAAATTCGTTTTACAACGAAAAAAAGCTGCTGAAAAATTCGGCAAAAAATTTATTATTTTTGTTCGAACCAAAATGGCCAAATTTCCGATCTGCCGACTTCGATCTGCCGACTTCGATCTGCCGACTTCGATCTGCCGACTTCGATCTGTCGACTTCGATCTGCCGACTTCGATCTGTCGACTTCGATCTGCCGACTTCGATCTGCCGACTTCGATCTGCCGACTTCGATCTGTCGACTTCGATCTGCCGACTTCGATCTGTCGACTTCGATCTGCCGACTTCGATCTGTCGACTTCGATCTGCCGACTTCGATCTGCCGACTCCGATCTGCCGATCCTGTGATTCGTACGCAACATAGCCTGAAAGATATAAAATCGAAATTCCACGAAATTTTGGTTATTACAAATTTTGTTGCTTCTAATCCCGTCATTACTGCTTTGAGTAAGGGTAAATGTTTGGATACAAAGCCCCGAACACGGCGCATGGAATAAGAGTCGATGTCGGCAGATCGAAGTCAATTGTCAGGAAATCACAGATCGAATGAATTATTTTAATTTTTATCGTGGACTCGGGAAAACGCAAAAACTGCACAGTAAAGCAGTGGTATGGAAGGTTGTACAGTGGGTCGGTCGAGGTCGGCAAGCGAGGCGCGTCGCGCGGGTCCGAGCAACTGAAAAATCAATTTGAAGGAAAAATTGTCGCGTGTCAGGGTTTCGGAGCAGCTGAGAGCTTGGAAGTTCGCACCTTAATTCTGGTCGTCAGCAGCTTGGGCCAGCTCATGTGGGTCCAATTCTGCGGCAATGTTGTCGCGTGGCAACTAAAATTCTTTCTAACCACTTTAACCATACAGGGTGTCCCAATAAAAAAAATACCCCCTCTAACTCGACGCAGAAGGGTCGAATCTGAACGGTAGTTACACCATTCGAAACCCTTGAAACGGCGAGTTTTCAGCAACCTTCAAAACTATGTTTTTATTTAAACCCGCCGTTTTACAACACATTTAAGAACATTAAGGAACGGTCTCTATATCTAATTGACGGCCACTTCCAGTCATTTTGCATGGAGAGCTTGAGGCAAATTCGCTTGTAGGCAGCCCCGAAAAGCGGTAAAATTTTACAAAATGACTTGAAAACTAGCGCATTTAACATGGTTTTACAGATTGTTGCAAACTCGTCTTGTTAAGGGCTCCCGATAACTATCATTCCGATCCGAAACTTTTGCGTCGACTTAGGGGGGGGGGGGTGTGTTTGTAATATGAAGTCCCCCCACCAGTGGATCTTGGTAGTAGATGGGCTGGGCGGGCACGTAGAGGGTCTGGCAATTATAACGACAGCCGACGAGATTGGCCCCACCGTTCTAAAGCGGTAGATAGCAAAAATTTTTGAAATCATACAATTAGTTTTTCATATAATTTTGGGTTCTCGACTGTTAGCGGAGGGGACCAAATTTTTCCCTGTGATTCTCTACGGCCGTATGAAAAACTATAGACCATTATTATGGCATTTTCCAACATTTTTAGATCTAAAACAATCAGAAAATTTTTTGACTTTTCAGTCAAAATTTATAAAAATTAGCAAAAAAGGTCAACATTTTTAGAAAGCTTTTGATACCTTTATAGCAACCAAAACCTATTAAAAACACTATAAAGTATTTTATATAGCAGCAATAGGTATGTATAGGTCGAAAATAGAAAGTGGTTCCCTGCTGAAAATCCCCCCCGCTAACAGTCCAGAACCGAAAGAGTGACGGCGTAATGAGAGCCGGTCGTTAGCCCTGCTGGCCGAGCACAATTTCTCTCCGCATATTTTTTTTGGCGTAATTGTTTGACTTGCCTCGCGCACGAGGCGCCGGTCCGCGTGCTTCGTCGATGAATAGGCGAGGATGGCCCGACAGCCGCCAGCTTGGGCCCTACTGATGAACACTGCGTGCCACCACCCGTGACCAAATTCCCGCTTGCGCACGTAGGCTAGCACGAGCTCGTACTTGCTGAAATCATCACTGGTTGAGTGCAAAGTGTGCAACGGCGTTTTTGATAGCCAATTTGGTTCTGTAGGATTCACGGGGGGACGAACTTTTTCTCGGCGCAAGCCTGAATTTTTTTAGAAATAGCGGATGCGTTTCTACATTGTTTTTAACTATTCCTAAGCAAAACAACTTTACAAATTTTAACTAAAAATTTAATTTCAGGTCGAAAAATTGATTCCTTACGACCTAGAATGGCCAAATTTTCGACTTTTGCAACCGGCCGGGGCACGCACCAAAAAACTGAATGATCTTATAGCGTGCGATTTCATAAAACTGCGAGGACGAGGAGGAAAGGAAAAACGAGGAAACTTCATCTTTGGACTATGAATTTTGGGGATGTTGGGTCATCTTTTTTTTAGGCCTAGACTCAGCCTAGACTTGGCTTAGCCTAGCTTAGGATTACAAGGGAAGTTTTTTGGACCCAGGTGGCAACTCGCTATGTAACACGCTTCAATCGATAGAGAATTGAAAATAAATGTCAGGTTTAAATATTAGTTTTTGCTAAACGCCCCTCTCTAAAAAGTCATTAGATTTTTCCAAGGTTCCTGGAACCTCTTTTCTCAAAATCGAACTTTTTGGTTTGTGATTTTAAATTGGATTAAAATGGCTTATCTGATAGCGAATTTTTTGATTCGAATGGTATATTTTATTAGTGCTAGATCGCCTCTATGGACACCTTCCAGGAGTCTGGAATGGCGCGAAGATGACCAAGTTTACATAGAGTTTTTCGAAAATTCCGAATTTGAAAGTTTTTGGACTTAGATAGCGCATTCGATAGAGCAAAAAATTGGCTTGGCTTGACTTAGGCTTAGGTTATGCTTAGGCTTAGGCTTAGCTTACAAGGAGTGGTTTTTGAGTGTCATTGGCAAATCCCTTAGCGACCTATTTCATTCGATAGAGAAGAATTGAATTCTGAACAACCTCTCGTTGTTCATTTTTGCAAAACGGCTCTCCCTGATTTTATAAAATTAAAAAACTAAAAATTGCATTTTGCGCACCCCGGTCTGGCGCGGCCAGCCTGCGGGAGCGCCATTAGGACATGAGCTCTCTCCGCCTCCCCCTATCAACATGGGACGTGGCCTAGTGGTTAAGGCTCCCGCCTTCAAAAATTTTTGCATCTTTGTGGAAAGTTCGGTTCCTTGGTAGAAAATTTGTTTTCCTTTTTGTTAACAAAAGCGTTTGCAGACGCTTTGATAAGTTAATTGATTGAAAATATTAGGTTGGAACATAAGTTCGCGCAATCGAACATTGGAAATTTCTTTCTGAAAATTTAGTGGCCAGATTCCGATGTTCCCTCTTTGCATTTATCTATGGGTTCATGAGTATGTGGGATCAAAATTACAGGTTCTTAGCCCCGGTAGTTTTTTAAGATTTTTGCGTTTCTCTCGAGGACACTTCAAATTTTTGACCCGGACATCTTTCCCGAAACGCCATAAAGTCACCATAGAAATTGATCATCAATATGATAATAAGTTGTATCTACTGGCTGCATGCCGAATTAGCCTAAAAAGGAAGCCAATTTTGTTTTGTAAAGGCGGGCCGAAGCGATTTTTCGTTTTCGCTTAGATCTAGCTTTAAAAAATTCTAATAGGGAAGCAACGCGATTCCATCCCACACATCGAATAGAGAATTTTATTGCATATCCGGTCATCCAAAAAACATTTTGGTTCTTGCCCGTTTTCCGGTTCGAAAATTAGAAAGAAAGAAAAATATTGCGCGAACTTTAGTTCCAACCTAATAATACTTATTACAACGTTGGCTGCTCTGCGCGCATTGAGGAAAATTTATAAGAAAAAACAAATATTATGGTCCAGGTTAGTGTGAGTCCTCTCAATTGGAAGTACAACCTGATTAAAAATACTGGGTACACTTATAATACAAAAAGCAAAACAAATTACAACTACAAGAACCGAACTTGCAAAAGTTGGAAAAATAAATTTTGTAAGACAGTCGCCTTAGCCACTGCGCCACGTCTGATGGTGCGGGGGCTGCGCTGAAGGCCTCTTCCCCTAGAGCTGGGCGCTGATTTTGATGCGGCGAACCGACAGTTGGCCAAGATGCCATTCAAAGTTTTTTAATTTTATAAAATCAGGGAAGGGCGTTTTGCAAAAATGAACATCGGGAGGTTGATCAGAATTCAATTCTCTATCGAATGAGCTAGGTCGCGAAGGGATTTGCCAATGACACTCAAAAACCACTCCTTGTTAGGCCTAGTTTAGGCTTCTTTTAGGTTTAGTCTATGCTTGGAGAGTAGCTTAGGCCGAAAGGACCTTCAAAAAAAGATGCCCCCAACATCAATAGCTCTGATTCTTTGAAAGCTTATGTGGGTGCCTACGTCAACTGATCCAACGAACGCCCCGATTCTTCCAGCGGCACAAAGCGGATGCCCGGGTGCCCGGGCACGTCGAGCTGGTCGTGGGCCGGCGGATGGAGCCGCGGATGTTTTTGGCAGCCCTGAAATGGCATTCATGTATTGCGTTTGTGGGCGCTGCGAATGCGAAATTTTGCCGTCGGACGGGAGCCGAATTCCTAACACTGCATAAATCGCCAGAAGGCCGAAATTCGAAAAGCAGGAACGGAAGAGCCGTCACATTGGTACTCATGGGGGTAACGGGCAAAGGGGGGGGGGGCACTGATTATTATAATAGTTTAAATTACTGTGGGATTTCGCGAGTGGCCTTTGATAAAGTGTCGAAAATTATACTAAGAAAATTAATCTCAGCCCGAAAAAATGTAATGGAAACTTTTATTGAATAAAGAAAAATAATCAAAATCGATGGGCAGCACATCGGATAACGCGGGAAGCTAAATCTTTGAGATTTTCGATGTTTTCAAAAAGCGAATCCATCAAACGTCAAAAAATATACTAAGAGATTTTTATTTAATATAAAAATTTTACGGCCTAAAACTATCTTTGAAAACTATGTGCAGCACATACGACAACGGGGGGGGGGGGATATTTTCTAGTTTTGAACATTTTCGATATTCTGAAAATGTCATTCGATTTAGGACCGATAAAAATACTACGAGATTTTTTATCGCTCGAAAAACCACATTTAAAAATATTTTTATCATGCCTCGCCCCTCCCCGTTATCTCATGTGTATCGTCAAATGTTAGCTTTCAGGAAGTCGTCGCTGGGATGGCGATGTCCTTGTCAATTTTCCAGCAATTTTACAAGCCCTTTTTTCCATGAGCCGTCATATGTCTGAATTTGAAAGGCTTCATTCACTGCATCCGGCGACGGTCTTGCAGCATACCCATCAATTTTTGGTTCTTAGCCCAATAAACGAAGCAATTTTTCGATAATGTTGCCTGGAGTTGCAGGAAAATCATCAAATTAGTCCACGGCAACTCAAGCAATGTTTTCGGTCGCAACGAAAAAGGGGGGCATTTGTACCGAAAATGGACGGGCTGGTTTTTAGCCCTCAGTACCACGTCCAGGATCCTAAGAAAATCGGTCGGACGGCGGGGGCAGGATGGCGAGGGGCGAGGGCGTGGGCGGGGTGCAGAGTCTAGAGACCCTCTCCGTCTCTGTCTGGCCTCTTTTGGCCGGCGCCCACCGCTTAAAGCGTGCCCCAACCACCATTGGCCGCCCCCAGGGTGTTTGCCCTTCACGGCAAGTCAAGCAATGGGTTGGGCCGCAACGAAAAATGGGGAATTCGGAAGGAGAATGGTGCTATGCGACGCTCCAATAAACCCCGTTTTGGACCAAACTCTAGTCTAAGACCGAAAACTTCTAAGTCTTGGTGCAACCAGTTTTTAACTGCTATTTTCTTCCTATTTAGTCACGTTCGAATCAGCGCGTTCTCTTCGACAGCTCTGGAAATCCCCTTTTTGTAGTAAGAATGTAAATAAAACGGAGCTATTGATGTTGGGGGGGGGCATCTTTTTTGGAGGTTTTTTCCGGCCTAAGCTTGTCTCCAAGTCTAAGCCAACCAAGCCAAGCCCAGCCTAAGCATAACCTAAGCCAAGCCTAGGCTTAAGCCCAATCCTAAGCTAACTCTAGAATAAGCCTAAGCTACGGCTGGGCCAAGAAAAAAGAGCCTAAAAAAGATGCCCCTGCCCCCAACATCAATAGCTCCAATAAAAAAGTTATAAGGCATCAAAGGTTTTCCCCGTATTTTTGCCGGAAAAGGGCCCGGAATTACATTTCGTCGTTGCTGGTGATGAGATGCCGTGCGCCGATCATGCGCCAGTGTCGGTGGGTGCAAGGCATTCAACAGTATAAAGCACAGGGCAAAATAAAACCGTTTATTCCCCGGTGACGTATATACGATGATGTAATGATGGTTTGAATTTTAATAGTGGACGATCGTGCAGCAGTTTCATCGTGGCGGGTTACTGAAAAGTAGACTGGGGCCGTATTCACCCCCTATGAAGCTTTCTTTTTGGTGTGTGGCCTAATTCCGCCGCACACCAACATTTTACCCTAAGGTTTCAGACCAGATACACTTCGAATGGCTTGTTGTCCTAATTAGTCGAAAAAATTAAATCAAAAAAGACCGACCTCAGCAGCTCCTCCACCTCCTCCATCGACAGTCTGCCCGGGAAGAGCGACGGCAGCTCCGGCGGCGCGAACGGGCCCACCTCCATTCTGCTGCGGGGGCTGGAATAAGATTTTTTTGATTTGTTAATAATTATTTAGTACATCTACAAATTATCTCTTAATTAGTCGAAAAATAAATCAAAAGACCGACCTCAGCAGCTCCTCCACCTCCTCCATCGACAGTCTGCCCGAGAGAGCGACGGCAGCTCCGGCGGCGCGAACGGGCCCACCTTCCATCGCGGGGGCTGGGAATGATTTTTTTGATTTGTTAATAATTATTTAGTACATCTACAAATTATCTCTTAATTAGTCGAAAAAATAAATCAAAAAAAGACCGACCTCAGCAGCTCCTCCACCTCCTCCATCGACAGTCTGCCCGGGAAGAGCGACGGCAGCTCCGGCGGCGCGAACCAGCCCACCTCCATTCTGCTGCGGGGGCTGGAATAAGATTTTTTTTGATTTGTTAATAATTATTTAGTACATCTACAAATTATCTCTTAATTAGTCGAAAAAATAAATCAAAAAAGACCGACCTCAGCCCCTCCTCCGCCAGCAGCACCACCATTAGCAGCCACTCCTCCGCCAGCAGCACCACCATTCCCATCCTGTCCGGGCACAGCTCCGGCGCCGACGCCGCGATCAGCATAAACGTGCTCCTCGGGAGCATGTTGAGCCTGAGCGATCTGGAACGAGGAGCAATAATCGGGGGCAATCGAAAATTGAGGAGATTAGAAAGTCACTGAACCCAGGTCAGTTTTCATTTTTGGGCACTTTCGAAACTTGGCCACGAATTAGGGCTAGAAAAATCCATTCCGATTTCCCTTGCGCTCGAGCGTTGACTGATCAGTCAACTCTAGGTCAAAGGGCCTCCTACTTGGCGAAGAAGCCTGTCTCCGATGCGAGCTGGGCCTCGGTAGTTCAGCAGCTTGGGGCCGGCAGGCACCTCAATAGGCCCAAAGATCTCCTGAATTGTGGTCATAGCACGGCCCTCAAATTGTACAATGAAGCTAAATCGGTTCTGGACTGTTAGCGAGGTGTGGCGGGGCGGAAACCACTTAAAAGTTATATCAAATGTATTTTGAAAAATATATTCGTTTTTGCCCCAAAAGTAAAAAAAATCGACAAAAATTAGCATTTTTTTACATATCTAAAGTTATTTAAAAGGATATTAAAATTATTTTGGTTTCGTTATATCACCGTAGAGAATCACCGGGAAAAATTTCGTTCCCCCCCCCGCTAACGGCCCAGAAGCGCGAAATCCAGCAAAAACAGGGCCAATGCTCACAATTTTCATAGACTGTCCACGGGCCAACTTCTCGTGATCGTACGCCAAATCTTCTTTCTTGGCCAGCGCGTCCGTTGCCTGATCGATGATCTCATCAAGGCACACGTGTTGCTGAAAATATCGTAAAATTGCAAATTCTGCGATCGCGTTTTTGCTAACTTCGGTTCCCGCTACCTTATAGTTAGCGTATTCGATCTGCGCAGCCAGGGATCGCAGCTTCTTGGCGGTGTCGACAGCTCGCTCTTGCTTCTGCTGTTCGGAAATGACGATTTGCTAAATCGCAGAATATTAGTTTTTTTTCTGTTTAAAACTTTTATAGCAACAAACGAAGCTTCCGACAGATACAGGTAAAACACAAGTCTTGAACTGGCAGAAAACCGGGTAAAAACTAAAATTACGCACGGCGACAAGTGCATGGACATCAGTGATCGGAAGTGCCATAGCCGCGGCCCCCTCGAGCATCAGGGTGACAAACTAAAATCGGGTAATACGCACGAATTGTTTAGTTAGGGCTCTTATGGTTTTGCGGATTATCGAACCCCTTGTCATAGCAAATTTTCTAGACAGAAAAAGGTTCAAAACGTCGCACATCGTAACTCAACGAATGTCCATGGGCAAAGCATGGCAAATTTTGTTAGAGCTTTCTCCGCAAAACCAATGCAGCATCCCCAGGTGGAACCCACCTCAGAGTTTTGAATGCCTTCTCCATTCTGAGGCAAAATCTGCCCGAGGATCTCCGAGGTCGGGCGGGTGACTTTCTGAACAGAGTTCAGGCAAAGAAGAGTGTCTCGACCTCGATTCGATGCGACCTCGCTCGAGAGTGCTTCATATCGACGTGCTCGGTGGAGGGAACCTTCGGCAAGTCCTCGCGGGCGCGCAGCAGCTCGGATTCTTCAATTGAGTTCTGTAAAAGAAGCTATATTGGCAGTGCCTTTCCCAACAGCCTCTCCGTCGGCCATGAAGCACGGATAATTATCCAACTCCAATACGTCAGCCAAGCTAAACCAAAAAAGTGGAATAATAAGTCTAAATTCTAAGAAAAACGCCGCTTAATTTCCGGATTTTCAGCCCTGGGTCCATTTAAACGGCTTTCAGGTCAATGATGTGCCTGGCGATCGTCCTTAGTTTGCTAACAAAATGTGGCTGGGATGCTTCTCTATCGATAGTGAGGTATCTGAATTTCTCTATCGTTCGATAGGTATCTGAATCGTCAAATTGGCTCGGTTTTCGTGCCATTTTTTGGGCACCACGTAGCCGGCGTTCTACGTGAAAGCCTCCCACTTCGTTCCTGAGCTGCTGAACCTGTAGCAGAAGATGTCCTTGCAGACGGCTGGAGTAGAATATCTGAAGACGCATTACAATAAAAAATTAGGCATTTACATCTGTGCCAGTATGATAGACGGCCTGCAATGCGCCATTCAGTTGCTGCGTGAGCTTTTCCTCGGCGACTAGGCGGGCCACCTGAAACAGAGAAAATGCCCATTTATCAACATATAATTGTGAATCTGTATCGCATTATAGCATAAGTTTATTATTCGAGTTTTGCCGAGTTCCGAGTTTAATTCGAACTTTTTTTGGTTGCTTGAGGGCGGTGGTTGTATTAGATGGTGGGGGTAATAGAATTTCTAGAAAAAGGCCACGGCCAGCGCCCGAACATTGATCAGAGTAACAAGTGGGCAATGCAATAAAATATACCGCACACGTGGCTAATTAGCATCAAGCACGTAGGGAATCCTACCACTGGAGGCGGCGTGGCTGCCATCGCTCTGAGGTAGCCTTGTTGAGAATGGTGAATTGAATCCAAGTTGGTCTTTCAAAAAGTTATGTAGCCGAATGATTCAATTTAGGGTTATAGGAGCTATTATATTCAAGCATAAGACATATCTGTTTACTAATTTACGACATTGCGTACTTGTTACTACTACTTTCTCCTTCCTCCTTCTCCTGTAGGTAACTTGTTTTTACTACTTATATAAGTATAGATAAGCTTATCTTCCTTTACTTTTTGTTTACTTCTTTTTATCAAAATTTCAAGCTCCCTCGCTATTGCATCGTCGCTAGGAATGCCGCGTTTTTCACAGGGCCTCTTTTCCTCACCTACTCGGTTAGTAAAGCGCCCTTTTCCTTGCCGTGCAGTATAGAATAGGTTCTTAATGCTTTTATTATTTAAAATAGGGTACTGTAAAGCTTTTTGCGATGCATGAATCAAATTAATTAACTGCGGCTATAAAATAAATAAACTAAAGTAAAGTTCTTGGACTTAGTCGTTTTTTGAGCGAAAGGTGTTCACTAATTCAAATGCGCCCGAGGGCGCGCCCGTGTTTTTTGCTTGCGCCAATCGCGCTTTTGCCGTGACCGACATGCGCGCTTGGCACTTTTGTGCCCGAGGGCGCAAATTGCGCTAGTGGCGCAAAGGGGTCAAGTTCGGGCGCGCCCGCGGACGCTTTTTTAACCGAGTAAAGGTTCCGATAAATTTTTCTAAAACTTCAACGAAACCCTTCGAAACTCGTCGCTTTCAAAAATAACAAAATTCCAGATGCCCAGCTCGGGAAAGTTGAAGACGCGGAAGCGGCGGGCCGATGCGGTGAAGCCGGCCGCCGAGCTAGAAGCCGGGGATGACGACCCGAATGCAGTGATGCTAGGTAAAAAACGAGGAGTTTCCATTAGAATTGACCATTTTTAGGCCCGAAAAAGAAGAAGATCAAAAAGGCGGCCGACGAGAAGCAGACCAAGTACAACCTGAAGCGCCGCGCGATGAAGGAGCGCAAAGAGGCCAAGCTCACCAAGAAGGCGCGCAAGCAGCTGGCCGCTGTGGCCAAGCGGAAAGAGGATAGGCAAACGGTATGAGAATGGTATTTTTCGATACTTTAGGAGACCCAGGATGACCGAAATTTTACGCCGGGGACTAAAATTATTAAAAACAATGCGATTTTTTGACCAAGAATGGACAATTTTCGTCAAAATTAACCAATTTTTGTAGTTTTAAGCTTTTCTTAGCTTGATCATACCTTTTTTGCATTAAATATAGCTAGGTTTTCTCAAAAACCGTGGAAATGTCTTCAAAGTTCACCAATTTTGGATTTTAATCTTTTGTTAACCTTTATAATACCCTTTTACGTTAAATATAGCCAGGTTTTGTCAAAAAAAAACACCTTCAAAATGGACGAATTTTGGTTTTTAAGCTTTTCAGACCTTCATAATGCTCTTTTAGAGAGACGAACTGCTCGAGGAGCTCTACAAGGTACAGCTGGACCCCTCGGAATCGGCAAAGCTCGCCTCGGTGACGCAGCTGAGGAGGAAAAAGCACGGGAAGACGATCCCGGAAAAAGAAAGGTTTTTGGAATGAATTTTAGTGAAAGTTTTCCTTTTTTAGCTTCGTGATCAGCGACGAGAAGGACGTGGGCGAGCTGCGAGTGGTGAAGCAAAAGATCCGTGTCGCCGAGACGATCCACAACCGAGCACGAGTGCAGGAGGGGTACTATTCGACGGGCAGCGAGGAGGAAGATGAGGATGAGGAAGAGGAGGCGGAGGCTGAGAAAGACGAAAAAAATGGACGATCAAGAAGTCCAGGCCACGAATCCGGAAGTTTTGAAAGTGGCGGAAGCGCCGGTTGAAGCTGCGAAAGTCGAAGAAACGGTGAGTGGTTGATTTATTACATAGATAAAAGTCAGAAAGTGGATTTATACAAACTGAAAAAAAGCAAACTAATATGTATAAAAGCAATCTCCTTTATTCCAGAAACCCCAGCTGCCGCTCAAGCAATCCCGCGAGGTCGACGACGATTTGCCGGCCATCATCTCGAGCGCCACCAATTCGAAGGCTCCAACTGGGGTAATTTTTCAAATGTCATGAAAATTCCTTGATTTTAGCTGAAACCGATCGTCGTCGGGACGCGCGACCCCGAAATCGAGGCCCAGCGCCAAAAGCTGCCCATCTACAAGGAGGAGCAGCCGATCGTTGAGGCGATCCACGAGAATTTGGTAATTAAGTGAAAAAATTTATTTAGTTGTGAACCCGATTTTTCAGAATTTCTGTAAATTTTGGTCTTCAGGTCACGGTGGTGAACGGCGAGACGGGCTCCGGAAAAACTACCCAAATTCCACAGTTCCTCTACGAGGCCGGCTACACGGCGCTGGGAATGGTAAGGGCTTTTGAAAGAAATGAATGGTTCTTTCGCATTATCGGGGGGTATATTTTTTGTATAAGTTTTGAAATACCTAGTTACTTAATAAGAATTATTTTAATAGTGTGCTTAGTAAAATCAAACTATATTTAAATTTCGAACTAAAAGAACTCTCTAAAAAGGCGAAAGGCTGGCCAAAATCGGCCCGGTTTGGTCGAAAAATCTATATTTTTGCAAATTTTTTTAATAAAATTTGTAAAGTTTTACGTTTAGGAATAGTAAAACGCAGTTTGGAAACAACTCCACTATTTTGATGTGAAAAATTGGATTCTAAGAAAAAACTTTGTCGCCCCCCCCCCCCGATAATACGAAAGAACCGACGTAATTTCATATTTAGCAGTAGAAAATTGAATTTAACAAAAACTACGAGAAGTCCGCAAGTGTCGTACTGTTACTGTAAAATTTTTGGTGGTATTTGTATTTTAATTCCTTGAAACCAGGCTTCAAAACGCATTGATTTTAGGAAACGAGAATGGCTATTTTTTTACTCATAATTTCAGATTGGTATCACCGAGCCGCGTCGTGTCGCCGCCGTCAGCATGGCGAAGCGCGTCGGCGTCGAGCTGGGCCAGCCGGACATTGTCTCCTACCAGGTGCGCAAATTGGCGGAAATATTTTGGATCCCAGGCTGACTTTCTAACTGATTTAATGTCGTTTTTAGATCCGCTTCGAGGGCACGCGGACCGACGAGACGAAGATACTGTTCATGACCGACGGTGTGCTGATGAAGGAGATGCAGACGGACGTCATGTTGAAAAAGTGAGAACTTACAGTTTTCTAGCTTGAATTGCATGCCGTAATCGGTTGCCAGACGCCACGCTCCGTCTTTAGCTACTTGAACTGTTCATTTTCAGGTACTCGGTGCTGATCATTGACGAGGCCCACGAGCGCTCGATGTACAGCGACGTGCTGATCGGCATGCTCAGCCGCATCGTTTGCCTCAGGTTTTTCTGCTCGTTTTGTGGCGACCCAAAATCCGCTTCAGAGCCGACACGAACCCGCTGAAGCTGATCATCATGAGCGCCACGCTGCGCACCGCCGATTTCACGCACAAAAAGTGGGTCTGATTTTTAAAATTTGTTTTTATGACTTTATTTAACTTTTAAAGTAGGAATAGAGCCTATTACTTATTTTTATTTTTTATTTAGCTTGTTTAAAATTGTATTTTATCGGTTTTTGTTGAGGTTTTTGCAAATTAAAATTAGAAATGGAGTTGGCAACGAAATTCAATAACGCCTTTTTCATTTTTACTGCAACCGCTTTAAACAATTGATTATTTAAAGTTCAAATTAAGCTAAATTTGAAAATTCAAGAAATAGAGAAATTAATAACGGCTTTTTAGACTATTCCCGACGCTCGACCCGAGGATTCTGAGCGTCGAATCGCGCCAATTCCCGGTGACGCTCCATTTTGAGAAGCGCACGCCTGCCGATTTCCTGAAAGCCGCTTTTAATAAGGTATGTCTTCAGGAGTTTCGTAATAAAAGGTTTTTTGGGTTCTGGAATTTTTCTGGGCGTTGTAAAAATCATCTAACCCCGAAAATTTCCATTATAGGCGTGCCGCATCCACGAGGAGCTGCCGGCGGGCGCGATGCTGATCTTCGTCCCCGGGCAGGCCGACGTCAAGCAGCTCATCAAGAAGCTGACCGCAAGATACCCGGTAGGCTATACGATTTACTAAAAAAAATACCTTTCCTTTCCAGGTGGTCTACGAGACGAGCAAGGACGGGCAGAAGCTGATCCGCGGCTCGAAGCAGTGGAAGGAGGTTGGGATTTGCTTAAAATTACAAAAAAATGGTTCTTTAATCTTTCTGAGGGGGCTAGTGTATTTTTTCTGTTAGTTTATCTAGCAATAGAACGTGTTTTACTTTTTTTTAAATAAAATTTAGCTTTGTTTAATGGGAAATAGCCATTTATAAAATTGGAAGTTGTTTAAAAATGCGAGAATTTTGTCGAAAATTTATATTTAGTGTCGTTGTTTAAGATTGTTTTTGTTTTAAAAATCTTTGTAATGCACATCTTTTTGTCTAATTTGTTTTTGGGTTTTTTTTTAAAGGGTGAAAAACAATGTAGAAACAATTCCGCTTTTTAAAATGATAGAATTGGACCTAAAGACCTAGCTATTTTTTCAGGCTCGCGAACGGGAGCTGAAGAACATGAAGCTCGAGGACTTCAAGGAGGTCGGTCGGAATGCCGGGCGGAGAAAGCGGCTCGAGGGAGAGGACCTGCTGGAGAGCGGCATTGGCGGCGATATTTTTGACGATGCCCCGAGCGATGGAGACGACGACGGAGAGGAGAATGGCATCGAATTGGTGGGCATAAAAACTTTTGCTGCAAAAGTTTTTAGAATTTAGAATATCTTTTTTAGTTTCTAGGATTTTCTAGGATATCTTAATTGGTTTTTAGAATCTTTTTTCCAGAACTCGCTGGCGCCGCCGCCGGCAAATTGCGAGCCGCTCTACTGCCTGCCGCTGTACTCGCTGCTGTCGAGCGAGAAGCAGCGCCGCGTTTTCCAGGACTCGCCGCCCGGAACAAGGTAAAATTCGTGATCCCTCCCTCTCTCCCTCCCTCCCCCCCTCTCTCTCTCGCTCAAAATAACCTTTTTCAGGCTTTGCGTGGTCGCGACCAACGTCGCCGAGACGTCCATCACCATCCCCGGCGTGCGCTACGTGGTCGACTCCGGCTTCGAGAAACAGCGCCGATACGACCCGGTGAGAATTTTCGGCGCATTAATGACCATCCTCCTTAGGTGACTGGCGTCTCGCAGTTCGTGCTCGCCCGCTGCAGCCAAGCCTCGGCCGATCAGCGATCCGGACGTGCCGGCCGTGTCTCCGCCGGCCATGCTTATCGGTATGTATTTTTGTTGCCGGATTCCAGTTAAAATCCTACTATATATAAAAAAATAGTGTCTGTGTGTGTGTGTGTGTGTTTTGCACTTTGCATCCACTTCCGGATGTCTGTCGGAGGATAATCCCGATGATCAATTTTAAGGTATGTATGATACGTCATTAGATGCGTAATGGCCTGGAGATGACTGCACGCATATCAGATTTAACAAAATCACCTATTTTCGAACTTAAATTTAACTTTTTGTAAAAACCTCTTTGTTAGGAACAATTAGCGTAGACCGGAAGTGGGGATTCGACTATATAAAGGGGCTCAACAGGTAGTTTTTCATTTTTTGTCATCTGAATTCAGGAAATTATGCAAAGTGAAGGATAAAACGGGGTCAGACGGGGCCAGGGTTGAAAAGTCGCGAAGCGGCTTTTCAACCCTGGTGATGGCATTAATATTGTGTTGATTTTCCAGGCTCTACTCCTCACAGGTCTACCAGGATTGTCAAAAGTTCTCGCGGCCCGAGATCCTCGACAAGCCGGCCGACCAGCTCGTGCTGCACCTGAAGAGCATGAACATTGTCAAGGTATCGGAATCGTCGCGTTCTTATGCATTTTTATGGCGATTTTCGAGTTTTGGCAATTAAAAATAGGTTTTTAGGGTTTTCAGAATTTTTAACTATTTTTCTGGCATGCCGGTTCCTTTAAAATTGACAATTATATTAAATTTTGTATTTTTTAGAAATAGTTTTCAATTTTACTCTTGACATCCAAGCCCTTACAGTAAAAAATGACGCATTTCGAGTTTATCTTGGCTTTCCGGTCCCTTTAAAAGTCCTGCTGTAGGTTGTCAACTTCCCGTTCCCATCTTCGCCGGACGAGGACGCGCTGATCGCCGCCGAGGAGCGGCTCATCAAGATGGAGGCGCTGTCGGTGGGCACGCGAAATGAGAAAGTGAGTTTTGGGAGTTAGTTATTTGAAAGTTAAAGTAAATAATTTGTATAAATTAAACTACTTGATTTTGTAATGAAATTACTCAATTAATTAATTTTTTAGACTGAAGCCCGGATCACGGCGCTCGGGAAATCATTGGCCGTCTTCCCACTCGCCCCATCGTATGCAAAGGTGAGAGAGAGAGAGAGAGAGAGAAATGACGTATCTAATTTTCACCATTATTCCGCTTTTTTAGGTCGTCGCCATGGCCAACCAGCACGGGCTGATGCCGTACGCGATTGCGCTCATCGCCGCGCTTTCAGGTGCGCTTGTTTTAAAGATATCGTCAAGTCGTAAATCTACGACCCGATTTTATCGATTGCTTTTAGTCCGAGAACCGATGGTGAACGTGGCCACGCTACGCGGCTCCACGGAGGCCGAGACGAAGCAGCACATGGTCAATGTGAGTGGGGATCCTGAAGCTCAAGCTCTGCTTTAGATACTCAAGCTGCGCCGCAGTTGGCTCGGCAAAAACGCGCCGCGCCGCCTCGGCGACCTGGGCGTGCTGCTGAGGGCGGTCAGCGCCAGCGAGAAGTGCGAGATGATCCCTGATGAATGCGAAATGATGGGAATGCGGTACAAGGCGATGCTCGAGGTCTGTTTGTGGGAAAGAGGAGAGGGTAGACTGGCAGAGATTGTTGAGGAAAAAGGAGAGGGCAGGCTAGCAGAGATTGTTGAGGAAGAGGAGAGGGCAGGCCAGCAGAGATTGTTGTGGAAGAGGAGAGGGCAGACTGGCAGAGATTGTTGAGGAGAGAGAAAGGGCAGGCTAGCATAGGTTTTTGACGAGAAAATTTCCTTTTTTCAGGTCCGCAAGATGCGCGTCCAGTTGACGAACATCGTGAACACGACGTTCGGCGTCGACGCGCCGTTCGAGCCGATCCTGGAGCCGATTGACGATCAGAAGGCCCAAATGTTGAGGTGGGAAATTTTTCCGGATTTTTAGGATTTGAATTTAGACAAGTGATGGTCGCTTGCCTGGCCGACCGGATCGCGAAGCGCGTCGACCAGACGACCGCCGAAGAGGTTCCGAAGGGCGCCTATCAATGCCAGAGTATCAAGGTGTGTGTTTTAAATGTTTTTTTTTATTAAGGGTGCCAACTTTTTCTCGAAAGCTATAGTAAGCTAGCAGTGACTATTTTGGATTGCCCTCCATCTTCATTTTTCTTCCAGGAGTACGTCTTCATCGACCAAACGTCGATGCACTTCATGGAGGAGCCCGATTACGTGCTATACCAGGAGATTACACAGGTAAGAAAGTTCGGTTACCCCCAATTTCTAAAAACATTTTTTTTTCCAAAATCCGAATTTTTCACCTATTTTTTTGTATTTCTCAGCTGCCCCTTTCCAGCTCGGCGGCAAGAAGTGCATGCAGAACGTGATGAGCGTAGACGAGGAGTGGCTGTACAAGTTGGCCGAGAACTACTGCACGTTTGGCGCGCCGCCGGCGGACAACAAGGGCGTCAGGTAGGGCATGAGGTTTTTTCTGCCCTTCTTACATGCTCTCCTTGTTAGTCCTTTAAAACGGCAGGCTGGCAGAGATTTTTGAGGAAATGCGTACCCCTAAATCGTTTTATTTTCAGCTACAACCCGAAGAAAGACGCGCTGACCTGCTCGGTGTCGGTGGCGTTTGGGCCGTGCGCCTGGGATCTGGGCACCACCGAGCGCCCGTTGCCGCATAACATCAACACGTACCGGCTGTTCGCGCAGTGCTTTTTGGCGGGACAGGTGTGAATTTTGTGTTTTTAAAATACGTTTTTTTGCCAGGTAATCCCCGCCCTTGCCGAGTGGACCCCGAAGCTGTTGGCGCCGCCGACGACGATGACCCGGGAGTGGGCGAAGCTGCAGCCGCGGACTGAGGCCGTGCTGAATGCGCTTATACGGAAAGAGGTATGAAATCGGCTTTGCGGTACTGGTCTGTTAGCAGGGGGAAACTAATTTTTATCTTTTCGTCTTTGCCTACCTGTGAATAGTAGTGTGTTACAATGTTTTTCGTAGTTTTTGAGGTTCTAAACTGTTAGCGGTGGGGGGCGGAAACCCAATTTTTCCCTGTGATTCTCTACCGCCTTTTAACAAAATGTAAACCATTTTGGTAGCATTTTACACGGGTTTTAGATATAAAAACAATATAACAATATCAAAAGTTTTTGAAAAATGACCAAAAAGAGCAAATTTCGAATTTTCAAAAAGGTCTAAAATATTTTTGTAATTTTCAAGCAATGAAAAATTACAAAAAAAAGCATTATAAAGTAGAGTATTTATTATTAACGAATAGGTATAGCCGGAAAAAAATTAGGTTCAGTACAGTATCGAAATGGCTTCGCTGCAATGGCCCTAAAACATTGGGCGTGTTGACTTTTGCGTTTAATGGTCCTTTAAGCCGAGCGTTCAAGTGTTCAAATACACCCTCATTTCCAGACACTATCCCGCGCCGCGCTCATCGCCGTCTGGGCAAAGGAGCCTGAGTTCTTGCTGGACGAGGTGCAGGCGTGGCTCCCGCAGACGCTGCACACCAAGTTCCAGGCCGCCTGGCCGCCCGTCGACGCGAAGGAGGCCGGCAGAAAGTAGACGAACATTTTTGCCAATTATTATTATTTTTCGAAGACGTTGTTGTTCTTGTTATTGCTATTCCGTCGTCGTCACGGCCATTAGTGCGTTGTTGGTCTTGTTGTTCTTGTTGATTTTGCCTTCAATTTGCCCCCATTGTTACTGTTGTTTTTTTGTGATTTTTAAACGGTTCCGAGAAATGAGAGAAATAAAAGCTGCTTCAATTTTTATAGGTTTTCGAGATTTAAATTATTTTCCTGAATTTTTGATGCTTGTTTTGCGCAGGAAATTCACAGGAAAAAGCGAAAATTTTCTGCATTCCAAAGACACCCAAAATGCATCGGCTGTGGTCCCGCAACGTTTGGCGCCTCGCGCGCACCCCCACGCTTGTCGCTGGTAATTTTGAATTTTTGGAATGAGCTGGCTAGCAGAGATTGTTGAGGAAGAGGAGAGGGCAGGCTAGCAGAGATTGTTGAGGAAGAGGAGAGGGCAGGCTAGCAGAATTTTTTGAGAACTAAACGGTTTATTTAGGCGCCGCGGTTACGGTAGCCGTCGTCGCGCACCGCTTCGAGTCCAGCGACGTCTCGCTGCTGCCCCTCGTCCGCCACGCCCACCTCAAGGCGCCGAGTCCCAGTTGGTTTTTGCTCTGGTCAGGAATTTAGAATGTTTAAAAGTTTTTTTAACTCAAATTCTTTTTATTTAAATTCTCGAGACAAAAACGAAATTTTGACGAAAATTCGGTATTTTCAGTTTTGGCATTTTTGACACTCCATTCCGTTAAATTCCTCATGGCTGGGGGGCTCGGTATCTATGCCCGGATCTACAGGGCGGGCCGGCTGAAAAATTGCCCCCGAATTTTCCGGTCGGACAGCCGCCGGGGCGGTCCCTTTTTTATTCAATTCCATCTAGCCATGGCTGGCCGGACATTCATTGTCCGTTTCTTTCCGTTTCTCTCTCTCTCTCCCTCTCTCTCTCTCTCTCTCTCTCTCTCTCTTCTTCTCTCTCAACCATCTCGATAACCCGAGCCTCAAGGCCGATTTGACCCGATCGGGCGACCCCAACCCTCAATCCACATACACACAACCGATTTTTGCCTCTCTAGTGGACTGATTTGAATAATTCTCTATTTATTAGAATTATTTTTAGATTTAGTTGCATGCATTTATAAAATAACTTAAATAAATATATTTTTTAAATGCTTTTAAAACGATATTTTAGGTACTTTCGCATTATCGGGGGGTATCGAGAAAGACCCACACTTCTTCTTTCAAATCCAATTTCCTAATATCGTTTTTGCTATTCTTACATAGAACTTGCGCATTTTGATAAAAAACGCAACGTTCAATTCACGGACAAAAACTCGCGCTTTTAAAAATTATGGTTTAGAGATTTTTTGAAACATAATTTTTCTTATTAGTCTAGGGATTGGAAAGTAATCAAAAGCATCTTAAACACGTTTTTAATAACTTAACTATATTTTGAAGTGGAAAAACCATTGAAAAACTTCAAAAAAGTTTAAGGACTGGAATGGAAGAGATACTGATTACCAAGCGATGAATTTTCTTGATTTTTAAGCCTCTTCGAAACACTTTTTTATAATCGAAATGTGATTTTGTAATATTTATTTTTAGCATATTTCCAGTATAAATAGACGTTGTAGTGCGGGGGAAGGCGATTTTCCGTAAATAATCCGCGGGTCACACGTTATCTAGGTCTCGCGGCCCACCCACCGTATCAAACAGATCCCTCCCACCGCGCCCCCGTCAAAACAATAACAACCCTCAAAATGGTTCCCCGCCCCGAGGATTTTACTGTAATTTTGTGAGGCATATACAATTCATTTAAAAGAGCGAAAAATTCTATACACTTTTATCCAAGAAACTGCCGGTTTAGGTCTCCATTCCTCGAGCTCAGGACGTGAAACTGATATCTGGTTTAACGTAGCTAAAAATTCTGCATAAAATCACGCTCCAAAAAATACTGTATCTACCAAAAAGTTTTAAAAATAAAAGTGTAAAAAATTTTTAAAATTGAATTTAAATTTTTCGAGAAATTGAGTGTCCTTCTGTTTTCCCTCAACTATTGTAACTATTAAAAACAGCTCTATAGCCCGTCTAAAAGAAAAAAAATTCTAGACAAAATGGAGTCCTCAAGGAGTCTCAACTTTTCTAGAGGAAATTTTACAAGAGTCTAAAATCTAAAAAATGAACATCGAAAAAACGTTTGATAAATTTTAGAGCTCGTGTAATAGAATCAAAAATTTTGCATAGACTAGCACTCGTGGAAAGTGCTGTAATCCTACGGTACGGGCTCAAAAAAATCGTGTTTAATGGTTAAAGATAGCTTTGTTTACCCGGTGGCTAAAAGGTGACGCGATTTTGTGAATTTCCCGATATTGCTGGCGATTCCGCGACGATCCTCTAGCCGGATTGGCCGGATGTTTTGTCTGCCTAGCCATTTGTATCGCCCCCGATTCCCCTTTAGAATCCACCATTAGCTCGATAGCTTTGTCCCATTTTCGAAAATCAAAGCCTTGGAGGAAACTGTCTCATTGTTCACGGGATTTTTTCGCTGGATTGGGCGATTTTTTGAAACACTAAATTCGGAGCTCAAATTTTTTTTAATCAATTATTCGCTATTGTGAGAATTTTTGAAACATTGATTTCCGCGCTCAAAAAACATTTTTTACTGATTTTTATATTCCCGAAAAATATTTAAATGCTATATTTAAGCTACACCAGTCAACATTAGACAACAATTTTGAAAGGATTGAACAGCTATCCATTGATTTTTAAAATTCTCTTTTGTTTAACAAAAAGGTTTTAGAAAAAAGTATCGTATAAGATTTATTTGAGTAAATAATTTTGATGGGTCACAAACCATAACTATTTGAATGCAACGTATCTTTTCCCAGGGCAAAACCACGTGTTTTTTACGGGCTTCCGGTGGTCAGCGGCCGGCTTTTACTCCGGGTCTCTCTCTCTGCCTGTCTCTCTCGCTCTCTCTCTCTCTCTCTCTCTCTCTCTGCCTCTCTCGCTGTCTCTCTCCATATACAGGGTGTCCCAAAAAAAAAGACACCGGCCGCATTTCTCTATTTCGGGTCCGATCGATTTGAAATTTTGCACAGAGGTAGCGAAGCCAATTTCCCATGAACACAGAAAGTTTCAACCCGATCGGTCGGCGGATTTTCCGGCTATAGCGAAAACACTTTTTATTTTTTATTTAATATGGGGACTTCTGCAATTTGCATCGAAAATCTGCGTAATTTTGTCATTTACGAGCTGATTTTGGCATAATTTTGCCGAAAAATGCCATTTGCTGTTTTGCGCTTCGCAAAAACGATTGCGTATGGGAAGTAAAAAGGGTCCACAAAACCGTCAGATACAAGAAACCAGGACTGTAACATACATTCGCCGTTTGATTTAACTTATTTTTCCGCTTATGCATAGGCTTAAAGCCTCCATTTTAATTTAAGCATTAATTTGGCGCCCGTCGAGCGCTGTGTCGAGGACGAGGCAGATCAAACTGGCCAAAACTTCAATAAAATGTGTTTAAGTGCTCAAAAAACGGTTGTTTTCACCTTATTTTGGTTCTCATGCGCAATCGTTTTTGCGAAGCGCAAAACAGCAAATGGCATTTTTCGGCAAAAATTATGCAAAATCAGCTCGTAAATGACAAAATTACGCAGATTTTCGATGCAAATTGCAGAAGTCCCCATATTAAATAAAAAATAAAAAGTATTTTCGCTATAGCCGGAAAATCCGCCGACCGATCGGGTTGAAACTTTCTGTGTTCATGGGAAATTGGCTTCGCTACCTCTGTGCAAAATTTCAAATCGATCGGACCCGAAATAGAGAAATGCGGCCGTGTCTTTTTTTTTTGGGACACCCTGTAGACCCTTTCCAGTGACAGCTAATACCATCCACAGACCCTCTCTCTATCTCCCTCTCACTCTCTCCCTCTCACTCTCTCGCTCTCTCTATCTCTCTGTCGCTCTCTCTATCTCTCTCGACGCATCGTCATCCTCCACCCCGACAATAGCCGCGCTGTCTGCCCCTCCTCTTTTTCGTGCTCTCTCCCTTCCTCTCACTCCCTTCCTCTCTCTTTCTCTGCCCCATCTCGCTCTCTCGCTTTCCCTATTTTTTCCGACGACGACGAACGCTCCTCTTCCCCCAGCCATTCCCTCCACCCGGCTTCCCCGGCCCCCGGTGGACGGTTTTTCCGTTTTCTCCTTTTTTTTAGGATACCCCATTTTTCTTACGCTTTTTTTTGCGAGCTTGAAGCTAATTGAAATTATCTTAACTGCCACATTTTAACGATTTTTCTACTTTTTTTTTGTATGGCAATCAGGAAAATTCCATTCAGTTTTGAGTTGCTGGAAAATCCATGTAATTAGCATAGCATTATTAAATGCCATCTTCGTCGGATTTTAAGCATTTTCGATTGTCTTCAATTTAGTAAATTTTATATTTTTACTCTATCGCCTTAAAAATTTCACAATGTCGGGACATCACAGTTATCTTTTTCAAGGATTTTTACGATAGATGGTGAAGCTAAAAACTGCAATTTTTATAAAACGACTCGAGAGATTTTTGTTGACCTTCTAAGAACTAATGTTTCAAAAAAAAACTCAAGAAGCAAATTTTACAATTTTTACACTTTTTGGCTCGTCTTTTTCTAAGAAGATAAATAATCAATAAATTTAATGTAAAAACTCTGATTTAAATACATAAAAATCTGTTCGAAAAAAGCGATTTGTCCCCTTTTGAACGTTACGATTTTTCGATTCACCGCCATTCATCATTTTCCATTAGCTCGGCTAGCCGCCGGGGCCGGGGGACGCAAATGTTTTTATTTCCTCGCAAAAAGAGAGAGAGAGAGAGAGAGAGAGAGAGAGAGAGAGAGAGAAAGACAGAGAGAGAACTCTAGAAAAAGTGACACATTTCGAAATCTGTTTGCTCCACCTTGGCGGCGCCAATGACTCAGCGGACTAGGGGGAAATTCCTCGCTTAAAAGCAAATTTAAAAAAGAAAATAGCTTCGATTTTCATAGTATACAGTTACGGTATACCTGGAAATTTAATTTTCGGTGTTTCAAACTAAAAACCCATTTTAAATGTTTTTTTTTAATAAATAATTCATTTATGTCCCTCCTTTTCTGTTGCTCTCTCTCTCTCTCTCTCTCACGCTCTCCCCTTTACCCCCATTTTCCAGAATCGTCGAAAATGGTCGATCAGCTCGTCGGCAAGTGGGATCTCGTCTCGTCGGAGGGCTTTGATGAGTACCTCAAGGAGGTTCCAATCTAATACCATATTATTAGCCCTTCAAAATGAGTTAAATATACTTTAAAAAGAAAAATAAATTTTTTCCAGGTTGGCGTCGGGCTGATGACGCGCAAGATCGCCTCCAACCTCAAGCCGACGCTGATCTTTGAGAAGAACGGTGGGATTTGTATGGCCTCTCTCTCGCTCTCTCTCACTCCCTCTCTATCTCTCTGTCTCTCTGTCTCTCTCTCTATCGCTCTCTCTCAATCTCTCTCTCTCTCTTTCTTTATGTCGCTCTCTCTCGCTCGCTCTGTCTCTCTCTGTCTCTCTGTCGTTCTCCTTCTCTCGCTCTCACACCCTTCTCTCTCGCTCTCTCTCACTCATTCGCTCTCTATCTCTCTCTTTCTCGCTCTCTCATCACTGGAAAACCCTTTTTTTTAGGCGAGACCTGGTCGATGACCTCCAAGTCGACGTTCAAGACGTTCACCGTCACCTGGGAGATGGGCAAGGAGCAGGAGGGCGAGACGGCTGACGGCAGGAAGGTGCGGCTCACAAAATGCCTCTGCTAGCCTGCCGAGCAAAAAGCAAAAATTGTCGCGTCCAAGGGGATCGAACTCGGGTCGCTCGCCTGACAAGCGAGAGCCCTACCACTTTGCCCACCGATTTTCCGGGCGTAATCGGTTAAATAATCACGTATTTTAAGGTGAAAGCCACGTTCTCGGTGGAGGGCGACAAGCTGATCCAGGTGGAGAAGGGGGCCAACGGCAAGGACAGCCGCTTCGAGCGGTGGATCGAGGGCGGCAAGCTGAACATTGTGAGTGGATTTGGAAGCCTAAACCTAAACCGTAGCCCAAGACTAAGCCTAAGCCTAAGCCTAAGCCTAAGCCTAAACCTAAGCCTAAGCCTAAGCCTAAGCCTAAACCTAAGCCTAAACCTAAGCCTAAGCCTAAGCCTAAGCCTAAGCCAAAGCCTAAGCCTAAGCCTAAGCCTAAGCCTAAGCCTAACCTGGCCAACAATCCCGGAAATATGCAAATTACCCCCCTTTCCAGGTGTGCGAGTGCAACGGCGTGAAGTGCGTGCGCGTCTACGAGCGCTCGGCCGCCTAAACTGCTTGAAGTCGACGCCCCGCCTCTTCACTCCTTAACTTCAGGGCCCCCCCAATCGTATCGCCTCGCTTTTTTCTATCGCCGCCTTACTCTCCCCCACACCTTTTTTATGCGTTCTGGAATTCACTTGTGAATTGTGTGTCTCCGTGTCATTTCTATTTATGCAATCGGTTTTATTAATAAAATTTGCATATTTATGCGTAAAAAGGACACTGAAATATAGCTCTCGCTCGCGCTGTCTTTCTCTCTCTTTCTCTCGCTCTCTCGGGCAGCGGGGAGGGCAGGCTAGCAGAGATTGTTGAGGAAGAGGAGAGGGCAGGCTAGCAGAGATTGCTGTGGAAGAGAGGGAGGGCAGGCTAGCAGAGATTGTTGAGGAAGAGGAGAGGGCAGGCTAGCAGAGATTGTTGTGGAAGAGGAGAGGGCAGGCTAGCAGAGATTGTTGAGGAAGAGGAGAGGGCAGGCTAGCAGAGATTGTTGAGGAAGAGGAGAGGGCAGGCTAGCAGAGTCCATTTGCCACGTAAAATCTGCTATTTTTGTAGATGATCTGATACAATGAATTTATGCACAAAAAACACTTCAATTTGCATCCAATTACGACATCAAAATTGCACACAAATTCGGGAATTCAACAAAAATTCAAAAATTTGGGATATTGTTTTTGGCGATTTTGGGAGATTGGATACGGTACCTTGAGAAAGACCTGGGATGTGCTATAAGATTTTGAAATTCGGATAGAGTTTTAATGCGTAGATTTGTCTAGAAAAATGTAAAATTTAGCAGGTTTTTAATTGTACTTAAATAACGGTTTAAAAAAGAAAGAACGTTAGCAATTCAAGAGATTTTTCTTAACTTGGTTACGGGATTTTTTGAAACATAAAAAATCCATTTTGATTTGAAAATTTTGAAACATTTTAATGATCATTATTTTGTGAGGCGTGACTTGTAAATTCATTATCATAATTGTGGGCTATCACGAGTCCTCGTCGATGAACCGGATGCTGCTGAACGTCGAGCCGAACGAGTGCATGCGCTTCTTCTTCAGCTTGGGCGCCTTGTGCATGCACAGGCAGCAGAGGAGGCAGATCTGAAGAATAACGATTAGTTTAACCTCGATTTAACGTTGTTTAAATTATCCCGAAACATTCAATTTTTCAGCGGAGCAGACAAGTTAAGCTTGGATAAAATAATATAATTTTATTAGTTCTAAAAAATAATTATAATCAATTTATTACAAGTAGGCGAGTTATTATGTGAAAATTTGGTAATTTTTAACCGGCAAATCTTGGAACATGTTTTTGCTACTTGAATCCGACCAGAGTTTGAAGATTCAATCTTTTTTATTCCCAGGTAATATATGCGCTCTATTAAGGTCCAAAATATAAAGTTATATCTATTATTAGACTCAAATACTAAAAAACCGTACCGACAATAACACGGCTAGGGCCAAAATGCATAGCGCTATGATCTCGGGCGGCAGCGGGGAGGTCCAGCTCTAAAAAAATTAATGTTTCGATTATAAAATAGACCCAAATACACAGGGTTGGATAATTTTTGGCACCCCTTTAATTTTTATAGCCTTCGTGTTCGGAAATTAACTAAAATATAATAAAACCTATTGAGTTTCATGAAAAACTTGCCTCCACCTCGTTCCAGATGCACTTCTCGCTGTTGACCTGGGTGCGGATGAAGGGGCAGCGTGGATTTGGGCAAATCACCTAAATATTGAGGTTATAAAAACGAGGGAAAGAGAGAATCAGAGAATGTGAGAATGAGAGAAATTCGCTTACCATATTCGGCGTAGGACGCCAGTGTCGATTGCGTAGCTTGGCCGTCGTCCATAATTCGTTCCAAATACCTGAAAGAAATTGAGTACATTGAAATTCAGATTCCTCAACAATCTCTGCTAGCCTGCCCTCTCCTCTTCCTCAACAATCTCTGCTAGCCTGCCCTCTCCTCTTCCTCAACAATCTCTGCTAGCCTGCCCTCTCCTCTTCCTCAACAATCTCTGCTAGCCTGCCCTCTCCTCTTCCTCAACAATCTCTGCTAGCCTGCCCTCTCCTCTTCCTCAACAATCTCTGCTAGCCTGCCCTCTCCTCTTCCTCAACAATCTCTGCTAGCCTGCCCTCTCCTCTTCCTCAACAATCTCTGCTAGCCTGCCCTCTCCTCTTCCTCAACAATCTCTGCTAGCCTGCCCTCTCCTCTTCCTCAACAATCTCTGCTAGCCTGCCCCTCTCCTCTTCCTCAACAATCTCTGCTAGCCTGCCCTCTCCTCTTCCTCAACAATCTCTGCTAGCCTGCCCTCTCCTCTTCCTCAACAATCTCTGCTAGCCTGCCCTCTCCTCTTCCTCAACAATCTCTGTTAGCCTGCCCTCTCCTCTTCCTCAACTAATCTCTGCTAGCCTGCCCTCTCCTCTTCCCTCAACAATCTCTGCTAGCCTGCCCCTCTCCTCTTCCTCAACAATCTCTGCTAGCCTGCCCTCTCCTCTTCCTCAACAATCTCTGCTAGCCTGCCCTCTCCTCTTCCTCAACAATCTCTGCTAGCCTGCCCTCTCCTCTTCCTCAACAATCTCTGCTAGCCTGCCCTCTCCTCTTCCTCAACAATCTCTGCTACCTACCCGTATGTAGGAGTGAAAGGCCACGCTCGGAAAAGTGTGCACAGTCGTATCCGAGCACGGAGAGGTCCATTCTATAAAAATATTTTTATGATTTTTATTTTTATACCGGAGAACCGCACTTTTCCCGAACTTCGACGCGAAGCACAATTTTTCGAGAGGGTTTTTTAGAACCTACGCATCTGGCAAATGCGTCAGCGATGCGTTCCGGAGTAAAGGCAGGATTTCGACGGTGAAATTGGCTTTCCGGAAGTTGAGGTCGGCGATGCGGTTGACCTGAAAAATGGCAGTGAAGAGTTCTGGGAATGTTAAGGTAACTAGTCATTAGCTGTCACGCTCCCTTGAAACACCCACCTGATCCCAGATATTTTCCGTATTATATTGAGAGTGGATTTTCCACTTGGACAGCATTTGCCGGCAAGCGGCATGCGAATGCGACGCGTCCGCCCAGATGCCTTTCCCTAAAAAGTAAAGGTTTCATCGTTTTTAGAAGATCGCTTTTTTTCGGTGTGGATTATTTTACGGCTCTTTTTCGACGCTAAAAGATAACAAGCCTTAATTTCGTCTGGTAATGGGATGGAAAGTATGTTTCATTTATTTTTCAAAAAATTTCTATAGTTTCTGAATTAATTTTGAGCCATTTTTCGCGTGGTAATAGGATGAGAAGCATGTTTCATGATTTTCCAATTTATTTTGTATTGATTTTAGAGAGTTAATTTAGCAGATTTTGGTGACCAATTATAAGTTTGTTTTTGTCTAAAAATCGGCGCTTAAAATTCCGCTGTTGCATTTTTAAAAGCTGTAAAAGCATTATGCCTTCGACTTTTTGTCGATTTTAGATATTTTTTGACGGAAAAATGTATTAAATTTACATACCCGAATTTTCCACAACGACGACAAGTGTGCGGACGGGGAGCTGCTTTTGCAGCTCCTCGATCATCGCCAGAACTTCAACAGCTGTTTGGCCCGTTTCGCTCGCCTCGCCGTCCTCAAAAAAAAATGGGTTTCAGCAAAGTTCCAAAATCGATGTCTTTTTGTTTGATTAATTTGTGATAATCCGCTAGAAACTGAATAAATTCCCTACTTTCGTGATAAAATCAGCAGTTTATTTTATTTGTCGGATTACCGGTGATTTTGTAAATTTCTATAAATTTTACAGTAAAAAATGGGCAAATTTTACAGTAAGTTACGCCAGGAATGGGATTCACAGCTTTCATCATTTTTAATTAGTTCTTTCGCATTATCCGGGGTGCCAAATTCTATCTTATACCGTAGTTTTTCAAATGTAAATAGTGGAAATCTTTCTAAACGGATTTTTACTATTTCTAGACGTAAAAACTTTGCAAATTTTTAGCCAAGACCATCGAAAGTATCGATTTTTCGACCAAAAATCACCGATTTTTGACTTTCTCAAAACTGTTTTCTGGTCGCAAAAATAGTTATATTTTGCTAAAAAAAACAATATGAAAAATATTATTATGCTACTGGATATTCTTAGAATGTAAAAAAACCATTAATGCTTCAGACGTGAAAAAAATTATGTTTTGTCTAAAAATAAGACCTACGAATTACTTCAGATGGTAATAAGCAGATGTTACAGCTCCGTATTTGTGCCAGAAAATTCCAGAACTCACCTGTACGCTCGGGATGACGACGATCAGCTTCCACTTTTCGGCGTGCCGGTCGAGCCGTCGGACGGCTTCGCCAATTTTTCTAAAAGAGGAATTTTTTGCCCCTTTCACGTCCGAAACGGTCTCTGCTAGCTGGCCTCTAAGCGAAATACCAGCTTGCTAGTCCCTTTAAATTACAAAATCAAATATTTAATGCCCAACAATCTCTGCTAGACTGACGCTCGGAAAAGTCCTGGCCTTCCGGCCCCTTTAAGAGCATCAGCGTTGAGATTTGACCGCAAACGATCTCTGCTAGCCTGCCCTTGTGCTATATTCTCTATATTAGCTACGGCTTTGCAAAACCAAAAAAGCTCATGCTCAGTCTCAACAGCTACCCATCAAATGCGAAAGCTCATGCTCACTTCGCTTGATCCCGGAGCGGATCGTCGCGATTATTCGTCGACACGACTGTAAGGTTGTCGGCAAAGAGCCGCAGTAACCGCTCTATGCTCGGGAGCTCGTTCTCGCTCGGGCGATGCTGACATGAGTCAAGGATTCCTGAAAATGTTCTCTCTCTCACTCTCTCGCTCTCTCTCTCTCTCTCTCTCTCTCTCTCTCTCTTGTCTCTCTCTCTCGCTCTCTCTCTCTTACGTACCAGCCTGGAGCATCGAGAAATTATGGGCACAATATCGGCTCAAATGCCCGATCTCGGCGTAGATGGCGATGTCTTCGGGCCTGAAAATGCAATTTGCATATTCTGACGATTTTCTCGTGA